TGATTTCACGGGCTGCCTAATAGGTGCCGACATAGAAAACTGACGTAAGCATCACACATTTCTGCTGTGCAAGCTCTGCATTTTTCTGTCAAACTTTGCCATAGTATAGTGTTTCCTTCCTCAAGGCCTTAACAAAATGGCTTGACGTAGTGACATGGTTTAGTTAGCACAGTGGTGACGGGTTGATGGTTGGACTACATGATCTTAGTGATCTTTCCATTTAATGATTCTATGAATCTATACTTGAGATTCCCAGGGCAAGATCAACAGAAGTATTCAATGTGATAAAGAACAGGTTGAATTTACTGAAAGTAAGTGGCGAGGAACCTCAGCAAAAGTACCTAGTCAACTGAGGAAACGCAGTTTGAAAAGAAAGCCTTTAGACATCAGCACTTGGAGCTTGACACTTGCACGTTTGGTGTACATGTATCAAAACAATGATTTAATGGAGAAGTCACATTTTATTTACTGTAATCTTGCTGATAAATCATGTGACTCTCTTACTTGACTTGAACTCTTGCTTGGGAGGTTATTCTTTTCACCAGTTGCCAAGATACATTTGATATAACTTTTTGCCTAAGTCATCAGCTTTTATAGAGAGGTTCCAATGCTGATCACTACTGTAGTATTGTCGCAGTGTCTTTCTAGTCCCTGTGTGCAAAAATTACAGTCACTGATAGCAATCTGCTCATCTCAGCATCTTGTGGGAAACTGTATATCGTGTGGGAGCCAGCACTGGCTCTTTTTACTCTTGGAAAGTGACACAATCCAGAGTTACTGGAACTCCTATTTTCTTATCCCCCTTCTCTTCTTTTTTCTTAATGTACCCTGTTAAAATCGAGAAACTGAGCCACATACTTTTAATAATGAGAATCTGGATAAAGTTCAAGCTAAATTTTGAAAATATATTCCAATTAAAGTCTTTAATAGATTCTTGGCTTTCCCCACATCTCATTGCCATGTGCATTCAATAATCCCAAGCCCCCTTTTTCCCTACTAATAAGTAGACTGCAGAGTGGTTGACATCATTCTCCTGAAGGTCAGCCTTTCCTGAACTGCTGTTTTTTGAGCATCTGTAAGGTTCTATTTGGGGGAACTTTTTTAACTATTATCTTGAGTTCTGCTGTGATACTGTCAAAAACAGTACTTGCTGTAGTAAAGCTGTGATGACTTTTGCATTGTGTTGTCCGAAAGAGATTTTGTGCTCAGGCCAGGAAGATTCACTAACAGAAATGGCATGTTCTTCTCTTTGGTAGGATGACACAGTGATAACAGAGCTATGGAGACTTACTGACGTATTTTACTACACTGGAAAGACATGGAAGTAAAGTTTGTGCGCTGCTAGTACCAGTCATCAGACATCTGTGTGAGTAGTTGTGCTATCAGACTCTCCAGCTTGTGTGGCAGCTGAAACCTATCATTGTGTAAATCAGAAAGTTATTTAATCCCTGTATGAAACAGCTGCATCCAATGCTCTGGGTATTGATTCTCTGTGTCATCGTGGCCCTTACTCAACATATAGCTCGGGCCAAATGAATGAGCAAAACTCTCAGATGCATGTTAAACAAGAGAAAAGCTAATGTGGAAAAAATTATAATACCTTTAGATAATTGTATCATGTAGCTGTATCTGGAATACTCTGTGCAAACATGTTTTTAAAGAGATGATTAAGGACACAGAAAACTTTCCAAGAGAAGAGAAATAAAATGACTGTCTCTATTCATGGTGAGAAGCACAGATAAGGGACATAAAAATCTAAAACAATTAATTGTATGAAGAAGATGGGTGGGAGGCTTATCTCATTACCTCCCCCAAAAAAGGGATGAAAAATTCAGCTAGAATTGAAAAACCAGAGCCACCTGAAAGAAGTGTTTCACACAGTTTTGCCATGAAAACATGGAAACCACAGTTACAAGACTCTAGTGAGGGACAGGAAGTTACAACATATTCTTTTCTCTGCAAGATAGCATTGGTCATAAGCATTTCAGTTCTTTATGTTCTCTTTGATTAACTATGCAAACTGAGCTTCCATTCTCAGGGATCTGCTTCAGCCAATATATCATTCTAATTTTTTTCCTCTTAATTAATTTCTTTCCACCCTCAAAAATATGTACAGTAGAAGACAGTATTATAGTGTTTGCAGCCAGGAAATTTTCTCCTGCTTCCCACTATTTTCTTTTTTCTACAGCAAAGATAGTATGTCCCTGTTTATCACTGCTCATCCACCATGACCTCCAAATCTTAGACAGTGCCAATGATTTCCAGCACACTCAGTAGTTATGTACACCCTACATTTTGTTCCTAGGCACTTGATATTGTATCTGGCTGTACTTAGACCCACAATTTGTTTGAATGCATGCAGGTTACCATGCAATCCCTACCCTTCATACTTTCGTCCCCACCATCACTGTTGGCACTGCAGTCTTTATGAGATTTTTATCTTTTATCAAATGTGTAGCTTTATTTGATTCCAGACTGGTTAGTCCACAAAATAGTCTCCACAGAGAAACACTGAGACTGTCCTTATAGATGGTGTTTTCACATTTATCATCAGGCTTCCTATTTACTCATCAGCTTTGAGATTGATCTGCTACTCATTCTTTCAAATGTGCAAACTTTTTCAAGCTGGTACACATGGCAATAAACTAAATGCTCTAAAAATCTTTCACAGCTATCCAGTTATTTCTAACAGTCAAAGTTCTGCCCCAATCAGAACATTTGGTTAGATTTGTCTGACAAATCTGCTTTGGAAAAGGCAGATAAAACATTTATTTCATAAAAAAGCATACCAAAGGGCAAAAGAAAAGGTAAGAATCCATAATAATCCTCAACATGTAAAAATCCAGATAAAAAAACAGAAAATGCACTGTATTTATACTGCTAAAGTCCTAAGCTTCTGTCTCAGAAAGCATCATTTTTCCTACCACAGTAAGGGGTACTCATCCGTAGAAAATCAGGGCTGAATTCCACAGTCTCTGCAGGGAATCTATTCCAGCACTCTGCTAGACTTCATGCAACTGGAGCCTGTTACTTCTTCTCCTATCCAGCACAGACAGCATTTTATTTCAGTGCCATTATGTCCTCCCTCTCTCCCTTCCAGCCTGAACAACTACAACTTGCTCCTCATCTATGGTATCTCTTCCTAGGCACAAGGCCATTTTTACTGCCTTCATTTCAACTCAGTGCAGTAGATGTGCACTTCTCAAGCTGCAATGGACACATCTAGGCATCATGTAAAGCCACAGCAGAGAGGAGAAGGGAGGAAGGACAATACACACATCCCCAAAGTCTCCTTAACCCCAAGGCAGTTTTCTACAGCCAGCCCTGGAGCACTCCTTGCTGGTGCTGGGTGTCAGCAGCTGATTTTCTTCTCATAGCCAGGAATTAAAATAGAGTGTGTTTGTACCTTGGCTTTGCACCTACAGCTGAGACCAGGGTTCAGCATGTCAAAGGAATCACTGGAAAGAGGAGCACTACAGTGCAGGGAGTATTTCAGATGCACTAACTTGGGGCTGTTTAATTTGGCTAAATAAAGAGCTTAAGAGCACTCACAGCACTCACTGTTTTCTAGTGAATTATAAAGTTTTGAGACCAACCTGTGGACACAGCTTTATTTAGGGCTGCCCTGCTCTCACTGAACCGTAGTGCAGTGGTGGTGGTCTGCACAGAGCTGGCTGGTCACAGGGTACTGGCTCGCTTCCTGGCTTTTCAGCTGCCAAACTATATTAAAACAAGCTAAAAATACATTAAATATTTTCCTTTCCTAATATTACCTTACCACGTAAGCGAGAGCTGGACTTGCCACTAGGATGTTATCTGATAACCACTGGGAGGGGAGGGAGCCATGTGAGCCCGGACAGGAGGTGAGCTGGGCCAGCCAGCTGCCAGAGGAGAGAGGCTCCTCCAGCAAGGATGACCAGGAGGAGAGGTTGTTATGTTTCTATTTAGGTGGGTGATGAAAACCATTCTGAATCCCTGCTTTAACCCATCTCTGACCGCACACCCCACCACAAGTGCTCCTTGATGCACACCTCTGAGCTTCTGCAAAACATCTCCTGCCCCCCACACTCTGCTGGATGCCCAGTGGGCAGCCCCCAGCCTCCCTCTGGAGCAGAACACATCATCTCCAGGTGGATCCGAGGTCTGGAGGGAAGATTTGGTTTGAAGTCCAGCTCAAACTAGAGAGGGCAGAGAATGTGCTCTGCTACACCTGGCACCCATTTATTTCTGACTGTTTAACCTTGCAGGTGTCACATCTAAAGATACTTTTGCTTTGTTTCTTTTGTTGTGTTTTTATCAAGGGGAAAAAGTAATAGGTTCCCAGTAATGACTGTGTTTTTAACTAGAAAGAACTACAAAAAAGTCAGTGGGTGAATCCTATCAGCACAAAATAAAAATGATGTTGCAGCCCGAAACTGGAGATGAAAGCCCTGTTTAACAAATGAAGGATATGAAGGGCAGAAGCTATGAAAAGACACAGCATGAACAACTGGGAAACACTTGGGCTACCCGATAATTCTTCCCAGCCTCATACTAACAGAAAGTCTCTCCAGAAGGGCTACTGGGTTTTGCAAGTGAGGCAGTGTGATCCTGGAGGAGGTGTGCATATTTTTGGCCTCCTGAAGCTCCCACAGGACACAGACTTCTTCCCCTTGCGTTTCCACACAAATGGCAAACTCTAACTATAAATGATGATCAATGAATTTGACATGGTGGAACATTGCCTCTGTCTTTGTTTTTAACTCAACCCACGCCATGCATGTGGACTGGTTTATCCAATGCTGCACTCCTTCCTACTCCACGTTTGAGCTCTGAGGACACTAAGGAGTTGAGACAGTTGCACTGCACCTCATAATGTACAGCCAGCCCGATGTCTCCTAGCTGCCATCCAACCTCCCTGTGTCCTTTCACAGCCATCAAGAGTTCAGCAAGGTGCGAAAAACAGAGCATGTCGTAGCTCTTGTATCCTCTTCTGCTTTGCACATCCTTTGTACACTCACCTTGCTGCTTCTGCATGGTGGTGAAATCCTCAAAGGTGAGGGTGCGCACAGGGGGCCTCCAGAAGGCATAGGTCTCCATGATGGCCTCCAGCCCTGTCCTGCAGTATGGAATAAAGCAAGGAGAACATCAGTCAGTCAGCAAGGGTATTGGCATAGGGAAAAAGGGCTCTGACCTCTGGTCTGCTAGTGGCCACCAAAAGGCCACCTTGGCAACTGTGAATTCTTCCAGCAAGCCTTTCTGTGCAGGCACTAAAACAGAATTTCCCCAGTTCAAGACTTCCATAAATCCTAATGGTCTTCCAGTACCTTTTTGTTTTTTAACAAGGATCCTTAACTTCCATTTTGCTTCGCAGGGCCCTCAAAGCACACTTAAACACTTATGGAAGTGGCTTAAACACTTTATGGAAGCAAGCTGTCATACATACAAACATGGGAGATCAGAGATTAATCCTACAGAATCTGAGAGAGTTTTTATGAATGAACCTTCCCTGTCACTTCCCATTTCTGGAGGGCTTTTGGAAGACATCCAAAGAGGAATCTTGTTGGTTTTGTATTTTGACCAGAAATGCAGTAAGAGGCTTTTTATAAAAAGGTCAGTGGCTTCTCTGCTTTAGGTCCATAACTCACTACAGTCACAGTACCAAAGAGAAAAAGCCAAAAATCAAGTGAGAACAGTTTTTCCTCTTAAAGGGCTGGAGTCTCAGGTTTGTGGGGTTTTTTTCTACTGCAGAATGTTAGCATTGCTGGAAGTCTCTAACTCCAGAAGCTCACTGAGAACATAGATGCATTACCAACTGAGGACCCTCTCTGCTCTTTATGAGACAGTATCCTGAGGTTTCTTCCTAGGAAAAATTCCCCTTTGTGGACACTGAACCTTGCTCTGTTCCCAAGGCCTCTCCTTGCCTCCTTTCCAGCAGGAGGTTATAGCCCTTATACTGGCTTAACACAACTAGAGATGCTTTGTCAAATGTGAGACCATATCCCCTTTCAATGCAAAAGGCTCTAACATCCCCAGAGCCTCTCATCAGATGTTGAGCTGATACTGGAGCTGCCTTTTGCTTCTGAAAATGTCTTTCTGCACGTGCCTCCTCTTGCTCAGTTAACTTTCCAAAGTCTCCCCGGAAGCTCAGATGCTTTAAATACATTGGAGTTGGCAAACCAAACTCTGTATTTTAAGAGGAGGTTTAGAAGAGAGGTTGTTGCATGGTGTTTATTAGCTGCTAAGCTGCTAGAAGTAGAAACAGAAGACATCTCTGCATTGCAATCTCACACTAGCACTGAGCACATTACAACAAAACTATCTGGTTAATACAGCAGCCTTTGCCAGCTCATGGAGCTAGGAGACAACGAGGCAGTGCTGAGTGTGAGCCCATCTGCTAAGCCAGGCTGTGTGTGCAAAAAGCAACTCTCAGGCTGCCGGACCACTCCCAGGATTTCCTCTGCCACACACGTGCAGACTCCAGCTGCTTCTCAGCACAGCCAGGAGGAGACTGATGCCTCTCTGCAGCCTCATGAAACGATCCCCAGCACAAATGCTGAGGGAGGACTTTCTGGGACCGTTTATCCTGGAAGCAGAAAATGCCCTGCTGCTTGTGAAGGTCTTTTCCAGCCTAAATAATTCTACTCCAATCCAGTTAAATCCAGCCCCTAATGGGCTTTGGTCAAAGGAAGCATTAAGGTATTGCCTCTGCATCATTTACAACTCAGACTGACTCAAAGTTTAAGCTTCCTAGCAATTAGAGCTTTCAGTCTACAGCTTTCCTTTGCATCAATACAGCTCTCTCATGTACTTTATTATTTGTATTTCTAAAGAAAAAAAGAAAGGAGAGAGAGAGAGAGAGAGAGAGAGAGAGAATAGTCAGGAGATAATAAAAGAAGAAATAAAAGTAGAAATCAGAAATAATTTACTTCTTTCAGGGACCGGTCTCAACTCTTTCTGTTACTGAGGATACCAGAGAATGGGGGATGCCATTGGGAACCCCTCTCCTCACAGACCTTCTGCACAGGACAGGAAGAGAACATTCTCCTAGGCAAAAGTGGAGAGCTATCCTATGTGTGTATCATTCTCTACAGGGAAAAACAATCCACAGTTTGCCAATGGAGAGACATTGTGTAACAGCAGTGAATGTTGTTTGAAAAAAAACCTCTTTTCGGAATTTCTGAAATTCTCAGCAGTTTCTTTTGGTCTTTGGTGAGTATTGCTTGTACCAAATGTGCTGAAATTACCCATGTGGCATCCACTTTCTCTTCCAAAAAAAAAAAAAAAGCTCTGAAAAACTGACTTTAAACTGCCTATCAGGCCATAAACGCTCCCCTCTCACAACAACTTTATGAAGGAAGTAAGAAAGTATAAGAAGAGGACTTGCTGCCAGCTTTATTTTAATAAGGTCTGTCCTTTAAAAGGTATCCAAAATTCGCTCTCTTTTTCATTCATTTTTTTTAAATTATTTCGAGTGCTATAAAGTTTTAATAATAGGCAATAAATGAAACAGTTCCATTGTCTGAAAAATGAAAAAAGATGTACGAGCTATCTGTGCATGTCCATAATCCATCCCATATGGCTGACCTTGCCATTCCTGCTGCATGCGGGATGCAGGTCATCATTTCATTGTTCACAAGGGAGGCCAAACCGCTGGCTCCAAGCATCCTCCTGACTCTCCTACCCTAAAAAGCTCTAAAAGCACTTCCAACACAAACAGCTTTTATTCACCTCAGCTGCCCATATCTGAAAAGAAAGTGTTGTTGCTTGCCTTCAGCTTTGTTTTTTTTGTCCATCACCCCATTGGGTTTCCAGTCTGTCTCTTCTAGTTTTCTCCAGCATATGGAGCTCCCCTAAGCATCCCACCATCAGATGAACTCTACTCAGTCTCCAAAAATAGGCTCTGTGGTATTAAACCTGCACCACTAAACATTTGGCTAGCTGATCTCTGTGTGTCAAAAAAGCTATTTCTCAATCTCTTGAAGTTCAGGAAAACAAACAAGTAATACCTGGCTCATAAGTACACTGCCCTATTAGAGAAGAACCTCTTTTATGTCGGTGTCCTTTTTCCACCGAGCCCAGCTCTTTTGTGAAACTTTTACAAAAGTTTCATTAAGAGGTAACTAAGCTGAGGCTTCCTGACTCAAGCTAGCGCTCTAACCTATCAAAGTTGATGGCTAGATTGTTGAACAGCATTGGTTAATATTGTTTCAGTGTTCAAAGTCTTCAAAAAAGTTCAGCCACTGAGCTATTTCCATCCTTCCCTCTGAAATACTTCACTGCTCCCTCTTCCAGCCCAAGCACTGCAAAAGAAGGCAACCATGCAAACAGCTGAGGGATATCTAAGAGGAGATGTACAACAAGATCACTCCCTCAGATGGATAAAGTTAGTTATATTGTGATGGGGGTCCCCCAGAGCAGCAGGTTTTTAACACGCTCTTGTACTAATGAAGACAGACCTCACTATAAGGAAACACACAGGAAAGCTGCAAGCTGATGCAAGTGAAAGATTTAAAATGGAATTTAATTTGAAAAAATAGCCAACCCTGTAATTTATGCAGCAAGCAACAATAGTAAGCTATAAGATATGACTGAATAAGAAGGGAGTGAAAGAAAATTATCCCTCTTTGTTTTGTGGAAAAGCCTCAACACAAAGAAGAAAGGCAGTGCCTTCCAGAAGAAGTGACTGAAGATTTCACTTTGCTCTGTTTTTCCCAGTATTTGGATTTTCTTTATCATTTGCTGGCAAACTCTACCAATGGCTGTGCTTCAGCATCCTGATGTGGCTGAGTTGCCCTGAAGCAGTTCCAGGTACTCTGGGGCCTCTCCTGCTACCAGATTATTGGGTTCTTCTTAAGATCTCATACAGAAAACCCATTTGGACAGATACACTCCTGCTTCACAAATTGTGCCTTTCTCCAATTACCCCATATTTTCAGTGGGACATTCTCCAGATACAGCCTGATGCACTGTAGCTGACCAGAAGTGTGAGGATGCAGGAAGATGCAGAGTATCGTGATTGTTAAACTAATTGGCCAGTGATGGGATTTAAATTAATTAGGGGAAGAGGAGGCAATCAGCACAGTTAAGAAAAATCCCATTTCATCAATCCTTTCCACATGCAGCTTGGATCTTACTGATTTTCTCCCTCCTACGTGTATACCTATGTATGTGTGCCCCTGAAAGGTAGCATTTGAGCATCCCAGTATCCTCCACTAGCTGACAGCAGCAGTACAACCTTCGCCAGACCACTGCTTGTGAGGCAGGCGCCTGGCTGCTTATATATGCTTGCAAATACCTTTGCCTGTTTTTTCTTCCTAAAGCCTCAGGCTCCTCTCTTTGATGTGTAATACCTTAAAGATTTTAATTCCTCTTTACATCAGCAGAGAGCCTTACTGAGCCTTCCCCACAGCTGCAGCCATGTAGCAATTTCCTGCCCTTTCTTAAATCAATGAGCTACAAAGATCAGTAATTCCCAACCTTTTCAGGAAACTGTCCAAATTCACTGGGCTTGGACCTTATTAATGCCTTCCATGTTCATCTAGCCCACCATGGACCTGGAACTGCATCAATCCCTCTTCTGAGCCCAGCCTCCAGTGCAGCTGCAGCTGCACACAGGGAAGACCTTGTACAGGGGCATATGCTGTTTCCCCCATGCAGGGATGGAGAGAAGAGTAAAAGGCATGTGTACCCTAAATATCAGAATTAATACTCTTGATGGGGATTAAATAAGGGTTGGAATGCCTTTTCACAAAGCAGCTTTGAGATGGAACCTAGAAAGTTCTCTGGCTGAGTAGGATATCTCCTCTGTGAAGATGTATTTAAATGGGTGATTGAAAACATAGGGAGTTGCCCACTCATTGAAGGCTTCCAAGGCAAACCATGAATGAAATAGTAGTCCTGGTGAAAGCACTCAAGAGTATCATGCAAGTAAAGACTGAATCATGATGCCCATGGGGACAGCAAATGAAGGCGGTGAATGCAACTCGTGCTCTGGTGTGCACACTCAGAGCCTTGCACACTGGTGCTCTTGTAATGTAGTCATATATATGTTCAATTTTCATCATTAATTTAAGGTTAAAAGCCTTTGTTATGCTGATTTAAAGGATGCCCACATCATTTGTAAAACTGAAATATTTAGGCTTATTACATACTGTTGGAGTTGTGCATGGCACCACATTGTCTTCTCCTAATACAAAAGATATTTCAATTAAAGTTTCTGTTTTTACACCGATCTGGTAAAATATAAAGTATTCTAAGTAGTGCTTAAGGTGTTCTACTTAATCTTTTCATAAAAATCCAGACAAAATTTAGTTCGACATCATCAGAGAAAAATTGAAATGTTTCAAAACTAGAATGTTGATGCCCTGTTATCCTGAAACCCTATCAAAAAGTCACTCTTGTCTTCTGATATAAAGCAAGCATTTGTGCTCCTGTTTTTATTATGGAGTTTCCTGTGAAAATTAAAAGATAAATCTATCTTTTAGCCAGACTCATGTGTAATTTATTAAAAAAAAAAAAAAAAAAAAAAAAAAGAGTTGAAGTGTCTAGATCCCTTCTATAGCATCATTAATTCATTATTTTGCAGGGAATTAACATTGCATCTATTTGTCCATTTTCCAAACTGCAGTCCCCTAATTTTCCATCTCTATTCTTCATTTCAACAACAGAAATTTCTGAGAAGCCCTACAGTATCTCCACAGGTTCATTTATTTTACCTAATATTTTTTGTATAATAGTATCATACCAGTAATATATATATAAAAGCCTATCAGAGAAGCTAAAGAATATTTTGATCATGTTCTAAACAACCGGTAGAAAGGTTCAGAGAAACATGGAAAAAAATAGAAATAAGCATAATAATTTCATTATTAAGCTAGAAAAAAAAAAAAATCAGCAAAATGAAGATACAGAAGAAAATACCCTGAAAATAGTGGTTATGGAAAAGATACAGGCATAAAAGTGAATATTTAATTAAAGATCCAACAGCAAAAATACACAGTCGCAGAAAAGGAAAATGTAAAGCAGGAAGTGATGCTGTCTTGACAGGTCTAATAGTTTCCAAAAGCCTCTGCTGGGCTTGGGTTTGGGGACTGCAAGACCAAAGCTTCCCTCTACTTTCAGGCAGAAAGAAGAGCAGAACTGGAGGAAGCTTCTGAAAGGAAACAAGTCAGTCCATCTGTCTGGCCTGGAAAGTATTTTCTAAGGAAACCATCATTACTGTGTCCGTTTAGGCAAAGTACACAGTCTTCTGGATCCTCTAAGAATCAGTCTAAAGCAAACTGCTCTTATAAAGCTGAGGTAGTGTTGGAAAATGCCGCCCTTGGTTCTTAGATACATGCCTTGTGCACTCATCAAGGAGAGAAATCAGTTTGGATGCACAAAAAATGTCCCCTTACCTGTTTCTCCCAGAATCTCTGAAGCCTTTAGCAAAAGGATTTCTGTCAATTTTTAATCTGGTGATCTACGAAAGAAAAATAAGAGAATTAGCGCATCTCCTCAAAAAAATATTTTTCTTTCAACAAATTAAAATTGTGGATGATTACCACTCTTTCCCAAGACACCTGTATGATTACCTTTCGTATGTTTTGCCACAGGTTTATGTTAAAGTCACCCTTCATTGTCTATGAGTGGACTATCAATTTAGCAAATGAGTGGTGCAGCACCAGGAAATCTGCCTTTGCTGTTTGTCTCTGAACATTTGCTGAGCATAGCACTGGAGATAAGAGGCTATTCCCAAAGGAGAAGCCCTAGGAGCTACAGTCCATTCTACAGTCCCACATTTCAGGAAGCAGGCACACCATTTGCATTTGGCTGGCACTAGGGGTATTCCTGCCTCATCATTCCCAATTCCCAACAGCTGGATGCACTCATGGGCCTTCAAGCAAGGCTGAGGAGAAAAGGCCAGGCAAAGTGCAGCCTACAGTCTTCTAAAGACAGCAGCTGGCCACCTGATCACATGCACAGCTGCTGTGCTGCTCAGCATCTGGGTGGCCTTCAAGGAATTGCTGTTGTGGAAACCATTTTTTTCCTCTTAACAAAGAAGAAAGCTGGACAGTGCTTTTTGAGGAATGTTCCTTTCAGCCTTCTTTCTTTCTTCCTTCTTTCTTTCTTCCTTCTTCCTTTCTTCCTTCCCTCCTTCCTTCCCTCCTTTCTTTTTTTCTTTCTTTCTTTCTTTTTCTTTCTTTTTTTCTTTTTCTTCCTTCCTTCCTTCCTTCCTTCCTTCCTTCCTTCCTTCCTTCCTTCCTTCCTTCCTTCCTTTTCCTTTCTTTTCCTTTCTTTTTTTCTCTTTCTTTCTCTCTTTCCAGAATTTTCATGTTGTCAAGAATGGAAAATAATACTGAGATACCAACTTTGCATTCAGTGGTATCACGCTCCCTAACCTGGTACAGCACAAGAGCTTCCCTGGGTCAATCTCACTTTGTTCCATACACACTGGCTCTGAAAAGGAACCAAGACCTCCAGATCCAGCTGAATTTGAGGTGCTTTTGCTGAAACTGCTCAAAAGGGACTAGTTTAATATAGACTAACCTAAAATGGACTTGCAGGTGTCTTTCTTCTGTCAGAATCAAGCCCTTACTTCTGGATATTAGCTTCAGATATGGAATGCAGTTCCTATTTTTGCAGAAGCTTAATTTGTGAACTTAATTTCCGCTAGGCTGATTTTGCAGCTGTCCTGGGACTTGTGTGTACAGAGACAGAAATGTTCTGTGGAGTATGGAGTTACAGTAGAGGGAATCCCTGTGGTAGCTTTGCTAACATTTTACAACTGTTTCCAGAGACGCTTCTCCCAATAAGGCAAAGTTTTACAGCCACTGGAGGGCAAGTGTGCGGGTTCAGTGGATTTAAATTTATTTTTAATAAAAAAATTTTTTTGTCCCACCAGAATCTCCTTTACTGCTGCTAGAAAAATACCCCCAAAAATGTTTCTGAAAAAAGAAAACACAAATGTTTGGAATTCAGAGATGATAGGAAGAAATTTCAATGCTTTCTTTACAGTAAAGTGGCTTACAGAGTTCCTCCTTTCCCTCTTGCAGATAGTGTCTTATACATCTGATCATCAGGAAAAAAATGACAACATTTGAAAATCTGTCATTTCTTCTCATTTCTTCTCCTTCCTCTATCTTTTTCCTGTGTTTAGTCTACAATTAAAAGTTTATTGAATACAAGTATAGAGCTGTAGAGGAAGAGTAGAAAATTACAAGTGCTACTATGGTAGTGAATCCACCATGGTAGCGTAATGTTTGTTTTTTCTCTCTGCTGGAATAGTTTATTCATTTTGGATCCTGTCTGAAGCCAATTTGAGGGGATTGGACTAAGAAAATTTTAGGAATAGGTAAAAGCAGTCACAGGAACACTGCTCTTATATGTTACAAAACAAAAACTCTGTAAAAATTCACTGGCTAATTGTGAGCTGATTTGAATGACTCTGTCCAAGAGTACTAAGCACACTGTTGTTCACTGAGGTCACTTTCCAGAAGCTCAGATGGCAGCACAAAGAGATGTTTGCCTTACTATTTCTGATTCAAGCTTCCTGTGGAATTTATGGAAGAAAATTGTGTAAATTGTTCTCCCAACAGGCTTTATAACAGATTATTTTTCTTCTAATGTGGCTTGTGCCATCATTCCATCCAGTCCTTTCAACTCACATCTCAAATCTCATTGTTTGTCCTCTCAAACTCACTCTCAAATCTCATCATTTACATAACAAAAAGCTTCATCAACTGAGATTTTGTATGTCACTGCTGGGAAAAAATTACCTCATGCTGAATTTTTAATGCCATCACAACAGTGCCTCCCTCCTCCCTCCCCCCCCCCAAAAGGAGGAGTATGACAGGAATAGGAAATGCTGTACATCTCATCTGAGAATAAGACAAAGAATATGTGTACATGAACAAGCTGAGCATGCACCTAAAGCATGGCAGAGGTGGTGCGAAGACTGGGGGGAATGACTGAGGCAGAGGTGGCTGGCAAATAAGCAACACATGAGAAGAGTACAAAGGGAATGGGTGGATATAAGGAGTTCTCAGCATCTACAGTGACCATACCTGCAGAAGCAATGAAGCAGACAACCTCCTTCAAAAGCCTGGACACCACATTTCAAGAGGCCAGTGAAGGAGAAAAGACAGCAAACTTGTGGAATCCACAGGCCAGCCCTTTCCAAAACTTCATGATTTGCTACAGCCTCAAATGCATATTTTTTCAAATGCTTATGTTTTCCTAATAATTGTTTCCCTCTTAAAGATATCTTATATTTTAGGAAGATATAAAATTGTGTAATCAAATACTAGTGTGGACTACATTTGCAGTTTTGGATGCCAAGAAGTCTAGTTCAAGAAAAAGGGCAGATCTGTCACAAAGCTCCTGCAATCAATGCTTCTGCAGAAAGAATCCCACTGCAACAATACATTTTCCTTATATCTGGATTCAGTAGTAATTCTCTAGTGTGGAAATTACAGGATCAGAATCAAATGTGAATTATGCATGAGAATTTTACTTAGTGTGCAACAAATGGACTGCTGTTGCTCGTACTCAAAGGCTTCTTTTGACAGCAAACCGCTGATGTTCCTTTTCTTTGAATCTTCTACCTTCACTGATAAGAAGAGAAATAAAGTTTTCTCCGTGAAATAATGGATCTGAAGTGGTTGTACTGCTTCAAAATTGCAGTCTGGACAGGACATTGGAGTTTGAACCACAAGGTAGCAAGGAAAAGTGAACAAAATGCATACCTCTGTGGCTTATCTCATCTAGTTATTTTATAGTAAAAATGACAGGCATCTTATCTCCAAGATGGTTGTCTGGGTATATATCTCGTGTCTATTGACTACCTCACAGCAAGCATTTTATTTTTGTACAGAAAAGTACAGTGAGCTTGTAAACTGGACACATTTATTTAGCCATATTTCTTGGAGAAGTTAATGACTCACAAACACAAAAAGCATACCAATGTTCTTATGAACATCCCACAAAAAAAGAAGCTTGAAAGCACGTAGCTTTACCTGTTGATTCTGGTAGGCTGTCACTGTGGTGAAGACAGTCTCAGGGAAGTTGAAGGTTTTTACCCCATCTCCTGAGGGAACTGGCTTCGTCGGAGAAAGATCACTGCTGAAATCCTTGCGGATGACGTGAACACGAGGCTGGTACTTATGCATTGAATGTAAAATTATCTGAAGCAGAAAAAAAGAGGAAGAATAATTTTTGTTTTTCCTAAAAATTCTTCACCACATCCACAGGTACAAGGACACAGGGATGGAGTGAGGGCTAATACAAATAAAGTTACTCTTGTCTTGTAAGTGCATATGATACAAACATCAGTTGACCTGTCAAATTGGACTGTTTGAAAGAGAAATGGGCTTGTTGCTTTAAAGGGACAAGAACCATCTGAGGAAAACCACTGAAGTAGGGAAAAAAATCTCTACAACCATGGGAAGTGTCTACATGTGTGTGGCCACCAGGACAGGGGAGCATTAGAGCAAAAGCATCACTCTTCTGATTCTGGGATGAGCAAGGCTGGGAAAATATGAACTAAGATCAGCTTCTAACTTACATGTCCTTGATCATCAAGTTCATTGTTGGTCAGCTTGAGCTTGTCAAAACTGACCACCTGCCTCATCCAGGTGTCTCCAGAAGCCAATGAGTCCGGGTGGATGTAAACCCTGGGGGGCACTGGAGAGTCGGCATTGCCAGCCACCATCCATTTGGAGCTGTGGTACACATACCTGAAAGAGGAAGAGGTGATGGCTAAGAAAAATTGTCACTCAGTCATTGGAAGAACATTTCCAGAGTTCTCCCTCTCCTGCCACCCTACCGCACACACTCCAAGCACTCATTTGCAGTCAGGGGGGAATGTGCTTTATTGCAACCTCGTACCTTCTAAATGAAAGCCAGATTACCTCTGAGCCACTTGTTCGGACTTGATTCCTTATTAAAACCACCTTCACAGTTATTTTCCCTGTAAAACTCTGCCACATGTGCCTCCTTAACTCCTTAACCCTCTCTGAGCCAGAGTAACAGAACAGAAAATAGTAAATAAAGCTCTCTCTGAAAATCACAGAATCACAGAATTACAGAATGTCGGGGATTGGAATGGACCTTGAAAGATCACCTAGTCCAGTTCCCCTTCCAGAGCAGTAACATCTAGATTAAGTCACACAGAAACATATCCAGGTGAGTTTTGAATATTGATAAATGTACATGTAAAAACATGTATTCATCTAAAAAGACCAAAGTCCTATGGATATCACCAGAACAACTGATAAAAAAGAATTTCTCATTTAAAATACAGTGAAATGGGAAATTCCATTTAGTATAACCAATGTCAGGATTAGAGGGAAAAAAATTAAATTATCTTCTGTGTTCCTGACCTAACCATCCTGTGTATGCCAAAAATTACTCTCCTACAGTTCTTCCTAGCTCTTTCCTTGTGTTCTGTGGCTCTTGCAGTCTAAAGTATTTCACAAACAGTCCTGCTAACACCTCTTAATTCTTCTCTGCACTGCCCTTCCTTGGGTCTCTACTCAGCTCTGTGGCTCTGTGAAGCTATTTCAGTCCTTACCTACTTACAGTGATTCATTTCCTGTATTTTTAAAAGAAATGGAAAAGAAAGTTCATTCCTTTCAGCACTAGTTTATTCTGTGTGGCTGCATTAGCTGGCAAGGGCAGAAACAGAATATAAGACAATCTACTAATTTTTGAGTTAAATACTCTCAGAACTACATTGAAGAAAAGAGGCAAAATAACTAAGTGGGTTGAGGGAACAATCTTGATGCTTCCAAAAAATTACTTTCCTGAGAAACACTTTGAGAGAAAAATGCAGTATTTAGCATTTCAAGAAAAGTTCTTGAATCCTTGAAATATGGAGTGGTCAAGACAGTTTTGGGAAAAGAGTTGCTCTCAAGAGTTCCTCCCCAGCTTTCCTGTAGTCCCTCTCTAGCTACTAGAATGTCACTATAAAGATCTCCTTGGAGCCTTCTCTTCTCTAGATTGAACAACCTGGTCTCTGATCGAGGTCTGGACACTCCTCTGATCTTGCTTCAATAGATCCGTATCCTTCTTATGCTGCAGGGTCCACAGCTGAACACAGTATTGCAGGTGGAGTCTCAGGAGAGTAGAGTAGAAGGGCAGAATCACCTCCCTCACCCTATTCGCCATGATTTTTTTGATGCAGCCCAGGATGATTGGCTTTCTGGGCTACAAATGCACACTGCCAGAGAAGGTTGAGTTTTCCAGCAACCGGTACCCCAAGGTCCTTCACCTCAGGGCTGCTCTCAATTCATTCTCCATCCAGCCTGTATCTGTGCTTCTCAATCCAGGTTCAGGATCTTGAACTTGTCCTTGTTGGACTTCAGGAGGTTTGCACAGGCTCACCTCTCAAGCCTGCCAATTCCATCTGGAAGGCATCCCTTCCCTCCTGCATCTTGAGTGTACTAAGAAGTACAGTGCTTAGGGTTCACTCAATCCCACTGCCCATGTCACCGATAATGATATTAAATAGAGCCATTCCCAGTACCCACCCTCGGGTATTGTCAGTGATCATCTCCTGAATATCAAGCTGTTGACTGCAACTCTGAGTGAGACCAATTCCTTATCCACTGAGTGGTCTATCCATCTCAGGAGAAAAAAAGTGCAATGATGTATATTAAACCTTTGGGTTTTTGTCGTATAATTCTGGTCAACTCAATTAAAGTCTTAAACCAACAGTCTCTCCTCCAGCATACTTTTGCAATAGTGTATAATGGCGTATTATACTCTATTGCTTTTCCTGGGCTCTGACACTGATCTATCACAATGTTCCAATCTATATGTCTTAAAAGCTTACCTGTATCTCTTGTTATCCACTGGTACAATGTCCATAGCAATATAATACTGCTGGTGAGGATCCAAACCTGTGATTTTCACCCTCATGGCCGGAAACATTCTCCTAGGAAAAGAAAGGTAGAAATAAGAGAGGAAATGGTGAATAAGGAAGTTGAATGAGCTCTTTGATCTGTCTCTGACACCAGGATCACTCTACAAAGATCACTTGTTGACATGACACATCTGGACTTGGTATGGATAGCAAAGATTGCTCTGGCAGTGGTTTCAATTGTCTTTGTCTTTTTGTGGTGGTGGTGGTGGTTTTTTTGCTTGTTTTTCCATTTAAGAAAAGGAATACCAGGATAAAAGCCTGTGGGTGAAAGTAAGGCACTCTCAGTCAAGCACTTTCTATTTCTGACTCCTACTAGTCAACCCTCCACATAAATTGTCCCTCAAGTCCAGGCTCCTCTCTTGGTGCTTCAGTATAGGTATGAGCAGTACATATATTCTGGAGACTTTTTGTTTTTTTGGTTTTTTTTCCATCTAGCACTATGGTTTCATGTCACACTAAATGCTTACTTTTGAGAAAATTACATTTCAATATGGATTTTAATTGTACTGAAATAATATCTAAAGCAAGACCATCACAGAAGAGTCTCTTGCCTTTATGTTTATAGACACTTAAGAAAACTACGCCTTAAATGAATTTGCTTATTAGGCCTATATTCCAGAATTAATGGAAACACTAGCAGTATCACTATGGCTTTCCTGCAGTCTAATCACTATTTTTTGAAAACATTTTTGTAAATGTCATCTTCTATGTGATGTTTAATCCCATTATGTCTTAAATTTTTTTCTTCCAATAGGTAAGTTATGAAGCTTCTACAACAAAAATTAATTCCTGGTCTTTCTTCTCTTGTCTGAGCACAGAAGAGCTGTGCTGTGCACTGGTCACTGTTCTGGAGATGTGTACAACAAACCTTGCACTGAGATCCCACAAGAGTATTATTCAATTGTACTACTTTTCTCCAGAAGATATGGAGCTTTGTTGAGAGAAACTGAAAATACTTGACACTGATGTGTAGTTACATGCTGATCCTCTGACAGGTAGATGTCTCTATATGGAAGAGAGTAGGTTGGATGGAAGGAGGATATTAAAGGGGAAATAAATAGTATTAAAATAATGATGACAGAGTTACAAAAAATGTATAAAATAAATATTTGTCTACTATTCCCAGAGGCCTCCTTAGAAACCACTGTGACATTTTGTCTTCTGTTTAGTGAAGAGTAGTGAAATGTCTGAGAAGATTTACATATCTACCCAATATTTTTATTTCTTGAAGTATTAACAATAGAGCCTGGAGGAGGGAAAAATGGGAATGTTTGTGAATATTTCCAAACACGCCTTTCAAAAACTGTACTATGGCTGTGAGAAATTATCTTTCCCATCTGCACTACAGAGGGTGGGAAGGAAAAGCTCAATGCTCAGCATTCACCCTGCCCACAGCTTTTCCACTTCAGGCCATTGACAAGTTCTGATGTATTAGTAACTGAAGCTGGCTAGGAAAAGGGCTTTCATTGCAGAGATGGGGAGAACATCACCCAACAGCTGCCAGCACACAGCTAAAGTTATGAGAGATGTAAAAGTGTCAGAAAAATTGCCTACAGAAACCCTTCAAGGAGAGAGTAGATTGGTGCAGCTGATGGTGCGAGTTTGCTAGCTAAACAGTTAAGGGGAAGAAAAAGAAACAGTGGATAGTCTTCAGTGTCTTGAGGGCATTACCTTGTTTCTATTACAATGGCTCATTAAATCTGCCAAACCAAATGGGTACAGAATGTGGCATTTTACAAATCCACTCTTGTTAATTGGATTTAGGTGGCTTGGGAGTAGCTTAAGAGGTGGGGTCATATTTCAGAGGGTTGATGAGAAATCCAGGATTAAATCTGAGTCTCCTTGGGTCTAAGTCTGCACACTACATTGGGAAAACTGAATGCTGTGTGTTCGCAGCAACTCTCTCCAACACTGCAACCCCGTGTAAGGTTGCAATATAGCTTATGGGGTTGTTTGCTTATGAAATACCTTGTAAAAGATTACCACAGAGCATTCAACAGGCTTAGAGGCTAATCTCTAAAATGACCAGAGAAAGCTCAACTGAACCCACCGTTTTCTCTAAGGTTTAAGTATACTTTTATAGTTCTGTAAAATCTTACTCTTATGATTTTCTGTGGGTGTAAAAACAACTCGGGTTTTTTGACATAAGGCTGTGGCCTGGGACTATCACAGCAGATCTCCAGCACCATTGCTATGTCATTCCTGGAAAGGGGGAAATGGAAAAGGCAGAAATACTCAAAAGTGACTGAGGGACTCCGATGGAATGTGGGTGGTATGAGTGAGAGAAGTCTACAGGGTAACCTGAATTTATAGCTATTTTATGCCTCATAATTTTTTGTATGTTAAGACTGGTGCCAAATGTTTGTTTTTATAAACAAATATACTTGTGAGGAGTTAAAGTGAGGGACAGGAAGGGAAGGCATGAACGCTTCATCAGTATTCCACAACTAATCCCTACTGCTGCCTCTTACTGAAGAGCACCATGGGACTTGCTTCCTTCCACTGGAAACAGAACAATCATTTGGTAGTATAAACAGCCCCAAATATGTGTTTTGTACAACTCCAGCTGATAGTATAAGGAAGGTGAAGAAAATCCAGTTGAAATACCACTTAACTTATCAGAAGGTACAGAGGAGCAAGGCCACCTCTTGCATTCGCTGCTGTTTTTTAATTCCTCTCTTATTACTGAGCCTAGACTGAGCATCCCTCAGTACAGATATGGTAGCTATGATAAGACACCTATGATTGTTAGCCTCATTTCTGAGAAGAAATCCCAAATTTGCCAAATATAGAATTTGTATCCTGGGAGGAACACCTTCCATTTGCGCCTGTGTGCTTGGTTGCCCTTGTGCAATCACCCCCATGAACTGTACATAATGTTTCCCTTCTAAGGCAGGACTAAAAGTAAGTAGTCACTGTAGTAAATGTGTATTCCCCCAGTAATAATTGCTCACTGCTTTCTCACTTGGGCAGCACTTCTATGCACTGTGCAACTGCAAACCCTGCAGCTCAGATTACCATGGTCTTTAGCTAGGGAATGTGGAGAAGAGTTCAGATTCCTGTGCTGATATTGCTAGTATACATGTATGCATAGTGAAGGAGAGTAGAGAAAAAGAGTAAAATAAATTTTTAGGAACAGTTGCTTAAAATCGGGATGATTTGTGGCTTAAGGTGAGTTTTTGTAGAGGTTAAAGCTTCCTTTCAAACCAAAAGGAGATAAAAGAGATTGTAGATTTGAATGCACTGCAGCTGACAGAAAGACATTTGCATCTTTTGCAAAAAGAACAAAGGACTCTTGTTATAAGAATCTTATTAAGTCTGAATAGCAACATTCTGGTAGAAAGAAAGAAGGGAAAATTCAATTTATGGAAACAGATCAAAAAATAGGCAGCTATAAATACAACTTCAAGAAAGAAAAAAAGACAAAACAGATTTAAATGTGAGTGGAAGTGGAGTTTAAAAGTTAGAAAATGTATTAGGCCTAATGTAGGCAGGATATAGCTCTAGAAATATGTGCATCTATGGGATGCACAGTGTATCACGGAACCCATGTGAAGAAATAGAATTCAGTTCCCATCCATCTCAGGCACATCCTCTATGAAAAAGGGAGTGTTTAATCAAAAAAATATTAAACATTTAACTAGTATATTTTCTTAAAATCTGTAAGAACTGTCCCAGTAAACAGATGTCCTGGGTAAATAAATTGACCAGATCTTCTTGATGTTTTGCAATGGTTAACGTAAAATGTGGTCAGCAGAAAAAATCTCCTTCAATACTGTTAATATTACCACTGGAGATAACATTAAATGGTAAAGACATGTACGTTTAGTAGCTACACATGAAGACTGCTCTGAAAGCAATGCCTCCTATTTTACAATGCCTCCTATTTTATTACGTTGGCCCATGATGTCAGAGAAGAAGGTTGGTGATGTGGTAGTATATATTGGATTTTTGTGCCAATATCTCATTACATTTTGTTGCTGTGTGACAGATGGCAGCTGAGAGGCAGTCTGACAAAATGGTGTCTGACATGAAAATGAAGATGAAGCAAAGATGAGTCATTGAATTCCCCCGTGCTGAAAAAAAATTGTACCCATTGATGTTTATCAGTGTTTGCTGAATGCTTATGGAGACAAAACAGAGGATGTGAGAACAGTCAGGCAGTGAGTGGTGTGTTTCAGCTGCGGCAATGGTGATGAGAAAGACAAGCTGTGTTCTGAACAGCCACACACAGCTGTCACACCACAAAATGAAGAGCATCTCAATCAGCTCATCCCCACAAATCAGCAGAATACAGTCGGGGATATGTTTATGGAGCTGAATATCTATTTCAGTGCATTGGAAATGATGGTAGCAGTGTTGGAATATAACAAAGTTTGTGGCAGGTGGGTCCCGTGAATGCTCACACAGGAACAGAAAGAACATCCTATGCAAATATGTCTCTATTGAACCACTCCTATGAGGCTGAAGGTGGCAGTTTGCTGGATCACAACTTTATCAGTGACAAGATGTGGTATCACAACTACAAGATAAAGTAAAAATGGCAGTCCATGGAGTGGCAACATGAATTCCCCGTAGAAGAAAAAGTTCAAGATGGAACCTTCAGTGGGTAAAGTGATGGTGCACTGACTATTGGGATGAGGCTTCTGGATTTCCTGGAATCCATTAACACTGGCTGCTACATCGGGCCACTGACAAAGATGAAAGGTCAAACTTCCAGAGTCAGGCCAGAAAAGAAGATAATCTTTCTCTTGTAACATGATGTTGCCAGGCCCATACCAGTCTGAAGTTCATGGAGCACATCGCCAATCTTGGCGGGACTGTCCTACCACACCCACAGTGTAGTTCACTTTTGATGCCTTCTGAATTCCATCTATTCAGGCCAATGAAACATGGACTGTATGGGCAATCTTTTCTTAGCAACAGAGTCATCATAGCATCCATGAAACAATGTGTCAGCTTTGCTGTTGCTGATTTTTATGATCCTTATGACATGCAGGGTCTTGCTTATTGCTTGTGAAAATGCAAAGCTAATGGTGGGCAATGTTGAAAAAGTTTTGTAGTTGTCACATTGTGTTATTGTGCTCTTTGTATCTGTTGTAGTTTCCAGGGAAATAAATAGGAGGTATTACATTTGGAGTGACCTACATAAATTTTGTGGGTACGGTCAATGCAGCTTGATGACTATGAAGACTAAAGAAATAATGAACATCATCTTTCAAAGATAAAGTATATGATTTAAAACTGTAAAGAATACATGGTTTGCTTGTATGTTAAGCTTTGCACTGTGGTCCATCAATTTTTGTTAGTGGAAGAACTGTCAAGACTGGAGCTTACAGATATTCTCTAACTTGCCACTTGATAATGCCATTAATGGTTTTACAGAAAACCACATATTAAATCTAAGAAATATTTCTTACAACTCTTATAAGCTTTCCTGCATCTATTCTCTTAAAAATAAATAAATAAATAAATGTAAAAATACATATTATTTTGGGTGACTTAAATAAAGTTAGTGTTTCTGTCTTTCTTAACACCTTTGATAGCTCTGATTCCTCTTTTTTTTTTTTTTTTTTTTTTTTTTTTTTTTTTTTTTTTTTTTAACAAATCCAAACATTTCAGCCTGTTTTGTTTTGGTTTTTTTCCATGAAACTGTTCTCCAGAACCTCTGCCCAAATTCCCCAGGCTTCTGTGAGAACAAGTGTTAAACAATTTGTAAAATTGCAGTAGCTTTGATGTTGCAACTTTTTGAGTGATTTTTTTTTTTTTTAAGACGCTGCAATGACCGTGCAGTTATTTAAGATCCCGCAGAGTTCAACTACTTAATTCAGAAATGTGATCTTCATATCAACAAGCTCTGCTCATTTTGCTGTGATGTTGTTAAGCCTATCCCCTCCATTTATCATAAAAGAATGAACTCCTTCCCCGCCCCTCAAGAAAATAAATAAAAAAAAAAAAATAGAAAAAAAATAGGAAAAAGAGAAGAGAAGGAAAGGAAAGGAAAGAAAAGAAGAAAAGAAAAGAAAAAAAGAAAAGAAAAAGAATGATGGAAAATGTGCTCTCCGCATTTCCGCGGTAGGTGCAGAACAGCTCTTGCGACAGCCGCGCGGTTCGCTCCGTTGAAGAACCCTGTCCATGGTGCTGATTTTCCTAACAGTAATATTAATCGCAATTAAAATATCGTGGAGGATAGGAAAATTATATTATCCCAAGCACGTCTAAAAATTTAGAATATTTAATACCTTGTGACGTCTAGAGATTTGCAGCTAATTTCAGGTTGTGCTTTGGTGAACAGATTTCTAGCCATTGTTTTAATAATAGACAGCAATGAGACACTCGAAGAACAGGAAGGCAGAGTGAGTTTTAGCATGGTTTTTTTTGTTTGTTTGTTTTGTTTTTTTTAATCTGGCATTTAATGACTCTTCGTAGCCACGGATGACATGAGATCATTTGCAATAGCAGAGGTAAACACTAAATCTGCTTTTCATTAATAGAAGAAATCATCAGAATTTATCAACTCACAAATGCAGGAATACATTATTTCATAGTAAAGTTAAGTTTAAACTAGACTATGTATAAGATTCAATCAGCTGGGTCATGAAGTGCTAACAGAACTTGAAACTCTAATGGCTCATCCCCAACTTCATAACTCGTCTCAAATTCAGTACAGCCAGCAACAAATGATCATTTCTTTATTTATTTGCTGTTTGGAAGGACTACCCTCAACTGCTTCCTACAGGTGCCATTTACCCTTTGGAGCCACTGATTTAGGAAGAAATATGGAATCACTTTATTGAACTTCATAAAGCTGGTAGGATATGCAGCTGTGAAAATCTGACAATCATTTACATTTCTTCCCTCAGATACTTATTTATGGGCTTTTCATGGAAGAAAATGGTTGTTTATTTGTTTTGTTCTGATTTTTTTTTTTTAACTACACAGAAAGTCAGAGATATCTTACCTGCCTGCTTTTGTGATGATCATCTCTGTCCCAATGTCATGAAATCTTTTCCAGAGGTCAGCACACTGCAGTTCAACTTGGATCTCTTCCATGGATGAAGGTGGAGGAGGCTGAGGACCCGATCCACCAGATGTAAGGTCAGAATGGGAGCCAAAAGAGCAGGATGTTCTTTCTGCCAACACCTCTGTGTCTGACCCAGTGCTCTGTTCTGAGTCTGCAAAGTAAACATACCAGGTAAGACACTGCAGTTCTACCTGCTGTAAGTTAAAAAGGAAAAGGAAAGCCAATAAAGGAAGTGCTAAAGAGCAATGCAACTGGATTTTTTGTATATGGTATGTCATGATTTATGATCTGATTTTGTTCTTTGAGCTTCCAATCTAACATCTGGTATTCTTGTAAAGCTTTACAAACATGTTTTAAAAGGCCCTCAACATAAAATATAAATAGTAACAAACATCACAGCAATGCCACGAATGGAACACAAAATATAGATGAAAAAAAGTGAAAAGAAAAAATAATAATAATATTTGAAACCATAGTTTCAATCCAAGATTAAATGGCCTCAATGGAAAACTACATTCCATTTAATTGAACACCCTCCCACAAAACTATTAAAGAATTGGTTATTTTTAAACAACGTTTTTTCCTTTCAATATCCTTGTCATCAAAAATAATGAGCATTTTGTATTTTGCTATTTGGCAGTACCATTTTGGAAATGTGTTTTATTTGTTTCTATAACATTTTTTTGGAACAATGATGTTTCCTGGGAAAATAACCATGCAGCTTTTGGTGAGAAAAATGCTCTAGGCTACTTAACAACAAAAAGGGAAGATAGTAAACATATGGAATATGTTACAAAGGAAAGCAGATGAAGAGAACTGCATAAAACACTACATGAGACAACCATCTCACTTTAAGGAGGAAAAGAAAAGTAAAGTTGCTAATAAAAAATGAAAGAAAGCAAACAAAAAAATGAGGTTGGAGGCTTAAAATTACAGACTGCCACGTTGAGCCATGTAGCCTCATCTTTGCCAAAATATCTCTTATACATTAGCTAGATATATAGTATGTATATGGTCCTAGCTTTCATACAATGGGCTAAGGTGAAATTTTGCAAATAGTAGTGTTTCACTGTGACAGGGTGTACACCCACATTACAACAAAATAATTCACAGTTCATTCTGTAAAGCAGTGTGTTTACATTTAGAATCTGAGTTTTAACAAATTGACACAAGTATTAAATAGATGACTGAGTTAGCAATAAATGGATGTGAAGTGCTCAGTCAAATGGATCAAGAAGAGCTCTATAGATTTCAAAGACAACACAAAATCAATACCATACTTCATCTGCATTGATCACCGAAGTGCATGCATGCATGCCAGTGAGGGAATAGAACAGCTATTACATAGAAACTTAAGGAGGTAAAAAGTAAAATCTGTGTTTAAAATGTGGTGAAATCACCACAGCTAAATTTATTACCATATCAGCAAGTGCTAAAGACTCTTTATTACCTCTGAGCTCATGCAGGCTAGTTCTCAGTTTTAAACCGTCTCTGAGACAGTATCTCCTGGATACTTGCACACCAGTGCAGAATGCCATAGCGAAGAAGAGGCTGGGAGTGCAGATGTCACCTGCAGAACCACCACCCCCGCAGAAACATTCTGGAAAACTTTTACTGCTGCAATGGAATGGTCACAAACAGTTTGGCTGGTAGCATTGGAGAAACTCACAGCCCAAGTGCCATCAGGAAGCCTTTGTTTTCTAGGAGAACTCTAAGTGGATTGAATAATAAATTTGTTTGTAGGACACAGTAAATTTCGACAGCATGTAGGCAATATGCATGTATGATGTAGAAATTCTGTAGGATATTGGAAAGGTTTTGCATGTACTGTTTCCAAACCATTTTGAACATGTGGTCCTTTATGTCTCCACTGACATCCAAGTTGGGCTGAAACTACAACAGATCTCTCTCTCCAGATGAATAGCACAAACCAACCAAGAAAGGACTACGACATGGAGACCAGTATTCCACCTAACACTGGTATCATAGACAAAGTCTAATTCAAGATAATATTAGATAACCTGCTGGGATTCGGTGACAGCAAGCTAGAGAATCAATGTGAAATTACAGAGAGATTAACACATTTGGTGCCTGCATAAGAAGTCCAGTGATGCAGGAGCAAAGCTACTTCCTCTAGTTCAAATGATTCCTTTTTACAGAGCTGCAGGGCATAAGTCTGAATATGCATCATTTGCTTTTGCAGTAATGCTTAATTGCTTTATCCTTTAAGGATAAGCAAGATTATGCTTCTTACATCACTTTAAGACCAATCTGTATACCTACTCATGAGATGAATCATTAACCAATAGTCTTACATCTTCTTTGAGTTCCTAAAAAAGTGAAGGTAAACTGCTGTGGGACAAGTAAACATCTGAGAGGATGGGATAGAGGGAAAAGCTTTCATTCTAGAGTCCTTCTCCTTGAATGAGGTATTAATCTGAGGGTCTGCATACAGATGGAGTATTTTAGGACACATCATCTTTCTGGTTCAGGCACTTAGAAACTGTATGTCCCCTGAAGCAGTATAGTAAACGGCCAACAGATGGCACATGGGTAGATACTGTTCCAGCATCATTCCAGCATTTTCTGGACAGCCTTTCAAAATGGGCGTGTGAATGGAGTTTCAGAGAACCCTGGGAATTAACTGGAATTTCATGCCATGAAAAAATTAAACATCATTGGCTTAAGCCCACTTACAGATTTTATACCAATATCACTAAACTGACTTCAACAGAGCTTTGGGGGATGTTTTTGACAATTGGTGGAAGTGGAAGTAGAACCACATCCTTGAACATAAATTGCCATGCTGGCACAAATCAATAATTGCAAAAGGAATTCACTGATTAGTGATATGCCAACATCTATCCAACCATGCAGTACCGCACAGTACAGAAAAAAAGTATCTTTGTTCAAATTATACTGTTCAGTGCCCTGAAGCATGACCTACAGTACTACAAGTTAAATGCTCAGAACAGTAAGTGCTTCTCTTTCCTCCAGTTTTGGAACCAAACAAACACAAAAACATGCCTGTGAATGCCTTGAAGAAGAGATTGTGGCTGATACTAAATATTGTGTCCAACTAAAGGACAAACAGAAAAATTCCTAAGGATGTTTCTAATAGCTTCTTCTAGCTCCAAAGGGACAAGTCAAGATTCCCTACCTTTACAAGATTTCTTTACTGTCACAGGAACTCTGGTTCTCCAATGCCATGTCAGGTTGCAGTCACCACTTTTGGCTTATGCTGGGCAATCGGCAATTGAAAGAGTTCTGTTTTTCTCTTGCTAGAATGTATTTTTGATAGTGAGACTTGGCCTAATCTATCGAAAAGAGACTGGTTCTTGCAGGAACTGTATTCCAAGGATCTTGAAACTTTCTAGAGGGATGCTACTAAGAAGTTTAGAGAGAAGATCCATGGATTTCAGAAGCATTCAAAATAACTCCTTAAGTCTTGAAATATAGCCATCTTACTGCCACTGTGTGAAAGGTTGTTCCCTTTCTATTCCCCTGTTGCATGGCTTCCTATTATCCTTTGTCACCATGCTAACCACACATCCAGCTCATACACTTTCATACTGCTAGAGGAAAGGAAATGTCTGAGCCCTTTCAGCAACCTTGAGTCTATCAAGAAAACTACAGGATCACTTGGAGAAGTAACACTCAGAATTTCTAGGGATACAGTGGCCATTATTGAGATTATCAACAAATATTGAGCAAGTTCAGATTTTTCTTTCTTAATCCTTTTCTCATTCCCACTATCTCCAGTTCATCCTGGGAAACCTCAGCACATGATTTCTTTCAATCCACAAATTCCCAGGCTTCTTGTTTGCAGACAGGAATAAAAAAACACCATTTTCCCAAGCATAGTGACTCTGAGATCAGCATCTTCACTGAATGGCCCAGGATGATGGTCAATAATACAGCCAGCTTCCTGCACCAACACTATGTGTCCTGGGATCAGAATGCTCTTATACATAAAAACAAGATGTGATTGACTGCCTTATTTCTATAGCTAAGCACTCTATTATTCCCTACATTTTCATCAGCCTGGTACAAGAGACTGGTATGCGAGACATTGAAAGACATTAATTTTCTAAGCAACTTCATGCATGCATCTTCAGCAGAATTTTCTCTGCAGCTTGTACACAGCAGGGACACTGAGCTCCATATTTAACCACTCAAACAGAAAGAGTTCTATTTAGCCCTTGACCATATCAAGATGCTTCTGCATTCAACAAATGTTTTTCTCCAAGATATCAAAGAATGTAAAATACAGGAGTAAGTACAAAAAGCTTGTAAACATAAAACACCATCTACCCGGAAGTCTTAGTCTCTTTCTTTCTTTTCTCTCTCTTTTTATTTTTTCAAATTTATGTGTAGATCCTGTCAGATTCCATTAGCGTAAAGATTTCTCTTGGGTGGAATGTAGCAGCTGTTACAAGCTGTTGGGGCTTTTGGCATGTTTTTTTAAATTTTTTTTTCCAATTGTTTATTTTTGTTTGTAAAATGTGTGAACATTTAGTGCAACAGGTGATTCTTCCTTCACTCCTACAGTGGCTTTGCTGGCAACCAAGGTCTACAGTTTACAAAGATAGTACATAATCCTGGACATGCATATTCAGAGAAAACTTGGTGGTTGCCACTCCTTTCTGTGAACTCTGCTGAAATAAGCATAGAGCCTTGCTTTTGCATGTGCTGCTGCCACCCCACAGCTGCATGGGAACCATGCATGTGGAAGTATGACATTACTGGAATCCAGATACAAACTGCCAAACCCTATGTAAGTGAAAACACAGAAGAATACTAAGACTGAACAGACTGGAAGAGTAGAGCCATGGCTGCTAATGCAATGACTTCAGATATACAGCTGTTTTCTCCCTGATAACTACCACATAGACAGAAACTGAACAAAGCCACCAGGAACTTCAAAATTACACAGGACGTTCTGCAGCAGCAAAGGCAGCAAGAAAGCAGCAGTGAATAAAGCTGATTTTCAGCAAAGCCATTGAGATTAGTACAGCTGCATTTTATGCAGCTGATCCAGCAATTGCCTTTGCTGCATGCAGAGGCTTCTGAGCAGTTCCCAGGTGATTTTAAACATATGATCAAATAACACAAAGATAATTCTGCAGATATCCTTATGTATTGTATTAT